GTATCCCACCCCCACGAGCACCGTGAGCTCAGACGCAGGCAGGCATATCTGAGAATCACAGAATCATCAAATGGTTTGGGTTGGAAAGGGCCTAAAAGCCCATCTCTCTAACCCCTACCGTGGGCTGGCTGCCCCAAACCAGATCAGGCTGCACAGAGCCCCATCCAACCTGGCCTTCACCTCATGTCCAGGGATGGGGCACCCACAGATCTGGGCAGCAGTGCCAGTGTCACACCAACCTCTGAGTAAAGAATTTCTTCCCAAAATCTCACTTATATCTTTCCTCTTTTAGTTCAAAGCCTCTCTCCCTTATTCTATCTCTATCAGACCACGTAAAAATTTGCTCACCTTCCTGTTTGCAAGTTCCCTTCAAGTAGTGAAAGACTGCAATGAGGTCACCTCTCAGCCTTCCCTTCTTGATGTTGAATGTGCCCAGTTCCCTCAACCTTTCTTCATAAGAGAGGTGCTCCAGCCCTCTTATCATCTTCATGGCCTCCTCTGGACCCGCTCCAGAAGTTCCACATCTTTCTCATGCTGGGGCCCCAGGTCTGGATGCAATACTGCATGTAGACCCCAATGAGAGCAGAGCAGAGGGGAGCAATCACCTTCCTCGCCCTGCTGCCACCCCTCTGTTGGTGCTGCCCAGATGGAAAAACATCCCATCCTCTGCTTTGGGAGGCAAACCAGGTGGCTACAGAAGACTTCCCACACCTACGGGTACCCACCACCACTTTATTTTCAGCTCCTAAGGGGTCAGACAGTGTCTGCACAGGATGCTCTGAACATTGCTCTGGCTCTCATCCCCAGCAGTGGTTTTCTTGAAAATCTGGAAGAAAGCAGAAGCTCATGGCCTTTTGGAGGGGTTGATTTCTTCATAAATCAGACAATCCATTATTTCTCCATGTAATTTACCCATTAATACCCACACCCTGGGACTGTTGCAGTGATACAATCACACAACATCTTTAAAATTAAAAAAAAAAAAAAAACAATGGCATGATACGTAGTTTGAAAGCAAGACATAAATGCTGAAAGATTTTTTTGTTGAGCATAGCTTCAAGGCTTTATCAGGAGCTCTCAAAGTTCGGAATGAGGCTTTGGGCAACATCCACTATAGGGGACACAGCCAGGGAGGGTCCTCCTGTCCGAGCTGGAGCCTGGTGGGCTGTGATGTGATCAGTGTGCAGGGCACAGCAAAGCAAGAGCCCAGTGAGTTCTGCTGAGAAGGAACTCGGGGCCTCAGAGACAGAATCTCTGCACTCCTGCTGTGCATCCATCCCTCTGCTTAAGGATACATCACGGAGGAACTTAACCAAAACAGAACATTTGGAAAGCTATTCCTGCTATTTCCTCTTATTACTAACATTCAAAGACATGATAAAGACTTAATTTAAAAGAAGAACAAATAGTCTGTAGGAAATAGGATGTATTTGCTGGAAGCAAGCTCTTCAGCAAATTACCTAATGCAGAGATGAAGATCTCTGCTAAATGTTATTTCTTTATACCTGAAAGAAAGGAATCCCTGGTAAACCCTCACAGTTTAAAAAAAATATTGCCCTTGCTAGTAGGAGAAGAGGAGAAAACAAAACAAAACAACCTTCCATCTCCAACCAGTCCCTGAGGTTGAGAAGACAGTTGAAGTTCACCACTTAGTTAGCGAAGAGATTTATTTTCATACACCCAGAAAAGCATTGCAGAATAAACATTTGCTGGCATATGTTACACCATCAGACCCGCAGTGTGGGATGTACTCCTGAGAGCAGAAATTGCGGGGTACGGCGCAGGCACTGCAGTCGCCCTGTAGATCAATGCAGCCTTGTGCTCACAAAAATACCCTCAGCAGCAGATCTATCAGCAGGGCAATGCCAGGAGACCCCCCAGCCCTGGGCTTTCCCCAGCACTGACCATAAGCAGATGTCAAAGAAGAGCTTAAGGACGGGGCAGGAATAGTGCAGTACATCCCTGCAGTGCCCTTTCAGCCTCCAGTGATGTAAATCCCATGCAAATATCTTCAGTGCTGCTGCAGTAACCGTGACAATAACTTGGACACCAACTGAATGCTGCACCGTTTATTTATTTATTTGTTTATTTATTAAACGATCAGATGAAAATGGCCATTTCACTCAGTAATATCTGTAGCAAATATTGCTCAGAACGTGGGATGACTCAGGGCTTTCAAACGCTCGATCACAATGCGATTAGTAATGATTTATATGGAAACTGCTTTGAGGAAAGAAATGATGGAGAAAAAAATTGAAAGGTCTGTCCCTTACCTTCAGTGCAGTGGGATCTGGAAAAAAGAAGGGAATAGGAAGTGTGACACAAATGCAATTCATCTCCTCCGTTAGTGTTATAATCCGTGAGTGCATGTCCTGAATAAACAACTTTCAATTCAGTCTATGACTCTCAGACAAAAGGAATTTCAGGCAAAATGTGCCACGCTGAGTGTTTACAACAGCGATTCCGTACTACATTTTTTTCTCATGAGGGTTACAGCCCGGGTGGAGAAGGATGTGCGAAATGAAAGAGAGGAAGAGAAAGCAATTTTCTGTGATTCACAGGATGAGCAAGGACAGGTACTCAGAGATAAGCAAGTTGCTGGGGAAGCAGGGCCGCAGAGCTGGCACGGACTGGCAGCAGCTCCTGCTTGCAGCTCACAATAGCACCGAAATAACGGGAGGGCTCAGCAAGGTGTAACTCCCCTAACGCTGCTACAGCCGTTCAGCCTCTCCAATCGCATCTCAGTTCAGGATGACTGCAGGAAACATTCGCTTCCATTCAGTAAAATAATTTGTGATTCTGGAGTGTTTTGGAGGTTCGATAGTGGATGTCAGAGTCGCCGGGTGGTACCACGTACATGTCACTGCTTTCATTATGCATAAACTAGCACCGAGCGCGGAGCTGTTCCCACAGTTGTTCTTACCCACTCAGTTCTGTTGCTAAAATATTACCCCATAAGTGATAGTCTTTGATGTCAAGTCTTTTCAACACCATCTCTCTAGGAGTAAATAAGTCCTTGTAGAACACAGCTCTTTCCAGTCTGAGGATGTTTGTTGTGTTTTTACAGCCAGCACTCGACGAAGCGCGGAGCAGGAGCACAGCCACTCACCTGGGCAGCAGCAAAGAGCATCGTGCTCACGGAATGTGGCCCTTCTGCCCTTGGATGGCAACCTGATCTGTGTGTGTGTGCCCGTGTGCATTCACGTTTGGTTTATCCACCCTTACTCTGAAATAACCAGCGTTCATGCTCTGGTGTCAGGGTTGTAAATCTTGATGGCACTTACAGAGGTGAGCCACAAAGAATGCTTCTTTATCAACAGCAATCACAGGTTTAAATATGTGAAGTATGCCCTTGGCTTCATTATTTTCAGTGAAGTGTGTGACAGGTGCCTGCTGAAGGACCATGGAAAATTCCTGTGGGCAAAAGGGCAACTGTACAAACCTGAAGAGAGAATGCTGCTGGATTTCTTCCATGTGCGTGTTATCAGTGCTTATCTATATGCAGTGCTTCTCAGTGTTCCTGGTAAAATGTTGTTAAACTGAATTGAATGTCTTCCAGAGTGGAAAGTCTTAATTGTTGTGCTTCATCGCAATAGAATCATTGAATCATTTGAGTTGGAAGGGATCTTTCAAGGCCTTCTGGTGCAACCCCCTGCAAGGAACAGGGACACAGCTCCATGTGTGCTCAGAGCTCCTCCTGACCTTGTCTGTCTCCATGGATGGGGCACCACCACCTCTCTGGGCAACCTGTGTCAGTGCCTCACCGCCCGCATTGTAAAAAATGTCTTTCTTATGTCCAGTCTAAATCTCCTCTCTTCCAGTTTGAAACCATTTCCCCTTTTCCTATCAATAATGCATCATCAAGTCATAGTAAATCCAGGAAAACTCTGAGCTGGGAGAGAGGCTGAAGAGAGTCCTGGAACTGGACAAGCGATGGAAGAAGATTTATGGGCATTTGCAAAGAACTAACAATTGCTATTTTTCCTAAAAGCCATTAGCATTGTGGAGTAGATTTGCAGCAGCAGGCTGATAGCCTGATGATGACAGAATGATGTGAGGCCCGCAGCCTGGATCCCAGAAAAGTTCAATCCAAACTGGAAATCACTGCTTTATCCATCTACTCATCTCAGCATAAATCCTTTGTTTTACCGCCAAAGCATCCTTCTTTTGAATGACCTCATTCCATCAAGGAAAAAAAATGTTTAAGGGAGGAATTATTTTTTGTAACTTTTATTAAAGTTTCTCTCATGTGGATCAAGAAAACATCAGTTCAATACACCAACAAAGGACAAAAGCAAAATAAATTTCATGGACAATGCGCCAGTGACAGAGGTCACACCCTCAAAAGCAGAGGGACACTTTGTCCTCGGATTGCAAAAGACTGCTCAGATACTTGGGCTGAGAAAAGACCAGTAGGCAAGAGGAGAACCAGACCTAGGAAGGCATTCATCTTAAAAAACTTGGTGATCATTAAAGGACAAGATGAGAAAAACCTTGCAACGTCATTTGGAGGACCCAGACACATAGGCAGGGCACACTAAAGTGTCTGAAAAACATGCACCTCAGTAGCAGCTCTGCCTGTGGTTATGGACCATGTATAGGAGGCCATGAGATTGGCCCTGGGTTTGCCCACCACTGCACCCTGAGCTGCTTTCACTGCTAATGCTGCACAATGAAAGTGCACCGCTTGTACCATAGGGGAGCTCAGCCAGCATCAGCAGTTTGTAGCAATATTTCAGCTGTCTAAAAGGGTCTGAACACTAATGGAGGCTGACTATCATTTATGCACAAAGTCACACAGCCGAGGTTTATGCATCTGTATTTAATTTTCTGCCTTTTATGACAGGGATGGGAGCAAGATGCTGTTCTTGTTATACCCCAGAGCCATGAGCATGGAACATATTGAGTCTGGTATCACCGTCCAACAAATCAGAAGAAAACATTGCATGAGACAGAGCATTAAACAAGACAAAGAAGTGTTGCTGATTTAGTTTATTGAGAAAGAAAATCAGGAGTGAGCTGAGCTCCCCAGAGTGCGAGATGAACCGAGGTGAAACCTCTTGCTGGGATTTGCCAGTGGGGATCCTGTGGTGAATTCTCCCAGCATTGATATTCAGCATTGTCCAAAACGGTTTAAAGTGAGAGTCCCGTTGCTTTCCCTGAAAGCGAGGAGAGGAAGAAGTGGGTTAGACACAGAGCCACAGTGCCCTGCCTGCTGTGCTCTGTCCTAGAGAAGGCAAGAGATGGGATCCTGCCTGGAGCCCAAGAACTGGCAGACTCAGCATCTCCTCAGCTACCTGATTATTAAGAGATGAGTGAAATCATTTAACCCCTTTTGAAAACTATAATGAAACACCAGATTTGATTTTCTTTGCAGCAAGCAAGGAAAACTTCCCTTAAGGTTAATGATGTTCAAAACATCCATCCTAACAAACCAGACATGCTCTGGTGAAAAATAAAATGAATGGCTGGCTTGATGCCTGGCGTTCTTTTCTGCCCCCAAATCCTGGTCAGCAATCAGCAAGGAAAGCAGGAACTGTGCAAGCTGGTGCCTGTAGGAGGCAGCCGACAACGTGAATGCAACCAGGGCTGTACGTACACGACTGCATTGCAGAAGTTGCACTTGTTGCCATATGTTTTGTTGTCGGAGCCACAGAGAGGTCTGTATTCCATCGTGCAGGCAGGCTTAGGGTACTCGCTGCAGTCAACCTGCAAAAACACAATTGTAATGTGGAGGATATGAAGGAGTCGATAGCTGAAGAGCTTCAACCCCTCCCTAGCTACAGCTGCAGTGCCGATGATAATGATCTAACTAAAAATAATTAACTTCCTTGCACGATCTGATATAAACTGGATGTCCTTTCTCCTATGCTAGATTTAATAATATAAAAATAGAGCATAATTTCCTGTGTAAGAGATGCATATCACAACCTGACTGCTGCATTTCTGAGCTGCAGCAGCAGCTCGCTCCGTGAACGTGCTGTGCTTACAATCATGTTGCACCATGTTCCTGACCTGTTCAGGAAATTAAATGGAAAAAACATTGGTGTCTGGAGAAGAGGCAGCACTGATGCCTTTATAATGGTTCAGCATCTCTCCCACAGGCTTAAAGCAAAAATCAGCACTTATCTGGGTACTTGGAGAATGGGATTTGTTTGTTTGAGAGATATGTACTATGTTTGCTGAGGGACATTGTAGTGGGGGGAAAAAAAAGAGACAGGAAAAAAGCAAAACAAAAAAAAACAACAACTACCACGGATACATGTCCAGAAAGAGGCTGGAGAATTCCATGGAAAAGAAATCCACTGAGGCTTACCAACTACACAGAAATCACACCTGGCTGAGCTGCGTAGCTGTAGAGTTTTTGGGAAGATCTGTATGTACTCATCCCACTCTTACTCCCTCCTACTCAATTCTTATGAACACTGAAAGAGTGGACTCTGCATCAAACCATCACAGGTTTGATGGCCCATTGGTCTGACCCCCTAAATCTATTATCAGTTCCTTTTCTCAGTTCTGCCCTCATGGGTTATTTCTGCTCATGGTCTTTTACTGATCCCTTCCTGCGCAGTCATTCTCTTCCCTTCCTGACTCTACTGTGAATAATGTGTATTACGTGTGTAGAAAGTGAAATCTTCTCTGTTCTGAAGCACAGATGATGCTCCTGAGGCTACTGCAGATGCTGGCCATGTTTCCCTTGACATCAATGGGACCAGAGCCTGCTCCTTCACCGTGCAACTCACACTCACTGCAGCAAGTTCCTTCCTACATCCACCATCATGCTTCTTGCCAACGCTGGTCCCCTGCTCTCTGAAAGGAAAAAAATCCATGTTAGGGAGCTGTGCCTGCATCCTGCAGTGCTGAACTCCACATTCCTGCAGTGCTGACGGGCTGCAAATGCCTAGCCTAGTTTGTGCCCACACTGCTCAAGATACCAGCCCTGCAAGCACAAGTGGCTTTCATAGAATAATAGAATGGCTTGGCTTGGAAGTGACCTCAAAAGTCATAAATACTCCCTCAAATACTTCATGAGACTCAGAGTCCTGCCCCCCCACCCTGTACACAGCATGGTACCTGATGGTCCTGAAGACAGAGATACGATTGGTCCCTGACACTCTGGTTCAACATATCAGGTGTTGTGGGAGGTGGTACTGTGTGCCAGAGTGTTGCAGTATTGCATGATGCAAAGGACGAGAGGGGACAGGCTGTCATGATCTAGGAACTGGGTTGTTTTACAATACAGGTGCAGCAGAGGTTCGCTGCTGTCTTCTGCAAGGCAATGTGTGCCACACAGACCCTTAGTTACTACAGGACAGAGTGCTTCTCTTAAGTCCCCGTTCAGCTCTCTACTTCTCTCTCAAGATCAAAGGCACAGTTCTCTTTCTAATCACAAAGGAAAACAGCATCTGGTTATCAGGGAGAGGAGGGACAGAGTCCAAGAGCCATACAGAAAAAGCATCATTGGAAAACCCAGTGCTCAAAGAGTGGCTGCCAGGGGTGCAGGACCCATTCCTACCAAGGGAGCTCTGCACAGTACTTACACGTTGTGGGCACACAGCACACACTCATTGTCGTAGGTGACTCCATCAGTGCCACAGACAGGGTTGAAGGCCTTGTTGCAGAGGATCATCACTTTGCCTTCCTCATTTGTCGTGTTGGGATACCTGCTGCAGTCCATCTGTGGAAGGAGCACACAGCAAAGTGCTAGTGAGGGCTTACAGTGACCGTGCAGACCAGTGGAGTGTGTGCTTTGGGCCTCCTAGGATGCCATCTCGGCAGGAAAAAAATGCACTTTTTTTCTGTTATTGTGATGAAACTTCACCTGAAGATGATCAATACAAGATTCTAACATCTCACATGCCTTCTTACTCAGCATTTAAATTATTTATTGGGCAAGTCAATAAGCAGTTTTGACTGCACAAAGGATGAACTTGGTTTCACTTACAGGAACAGCTTCCCCGCATTCTTCCTCGTGCTCTTTGCTGATATTGGTTCCATATTCTCTAAAGAGGGAAAACAGACATTAGGAAGCTTGGCAAAGACTTGCTGTTACTGGGAATATGCACCTAATGCAACAAGGCTGAGTCTTGCTAAGTCATCTTTGTATTTATATATACATATATATATTTATATTGGAGAGGGTGCGCCATGCTCCCCAACCAGCCAGCACTGAGTGGCTGGCAGGGATTTAAAGACTCTGAAATCTTTAGGACTGTTTTGGACCATTCAGATTGGAGCATCTCTCCATCCTTTTGCTTCTTTTTGCCGGGATAGAATATGCCCTAGGGGCTGTCATCTGCCTCATCCCTGAGATGGAGGAGAAAAACCTGAATAAATTACATCAACAAAAAAGACAGAGTAACCAAAGTGATGTCTAGGCAACGGAGTGTCACGCAGTGATACTCAAGCTTGCTCTGAAAGAGTTGACATAAGTGACATGTGACAGATCACTGTTTGTTGGAAAGGGGTGCTGTCGGGAGCCCTAAGCACAGCTGCTTGCTTGCAAGATGAGCTCTCTCAGCAGTACACACATGTTGTAGGCACACAGCAAGCACTCGCTGCTGTAAGTGACTCCATCGGTACCGCAGACGGGGCGGAGGTCCTCAGCACAGACCAATACTTCTTTGCCTTCCTCATTTGTCGTGTTGGGAAACCTACTGCAGTCCACCTGGCAAAGAAACACACAGCAACAGGACAAAGTGGCATTTTGTAGTTATGTCTTTCATTTTCAATGGGGCAGTGACCAGATCCAGCCTCCTCTCCATGCAGTGAGAGAGGACTGGGCAATGGGTTTACAGCCATGCAGCTCCCTGTATGGTAAACCAGCAGGGATCCATCATGCCCCCCAGGCACCATTTTGCAAAGCCTGAGAGCTGGCCCCTCCAGTGTTCTTCCACTGTTATTCATTCTCAACATACAAATGTTTATTCAAAAGAATAAGTCTAACAACCTGGGGTTTGGAAGCTGTAGTGTCTCACAGTACTTTCTTCTTTCAGTAGGCTGCTTTGGGGTAGTTTTTACTGCTATAGTCTACAGCCATCAGTCTAGAACTGATCGTATGGATGGGGCTTTGAACAATCTGGTCTAGTAGGAGAAGCCCTGCATATAGCAGGAGGGTTGGAACTAGATGATCTTAAAGGTCCCTTCCAACCCAAACCACTGTATTATTTCGTAGACCATATAATCAACTTAAAGTTTAGACAAGTTCAGAGTTGGTCAGAAATTAATTCATCCAACAATTTTATATCACAATTTTATATTACATGCAGCATAGATGTAGAGCTCAGAACTGCATAATTTAACATTTTACACTGTGGGATCTGATTACAGTGATACTAATTAAGACAGGGAAAAAAAAAATAAAGAGAAAAGAAAAAAGGAGGACAGAAAGAACTCTCTTACTTACCTCAACCCCAAAGGCAGCATCTGGGGGAAAAAAAGGACAAAAATGTGAAACAAAGGCAGTCTGATCAGTGAGACCACAGCTAGCTGAAACGTACATGCAAAATTCCAGCACAGAGAACCAAACAGAGTGACTTCCACTGATTCAATTCTTGAACTAAGTAAACTATGTATGACTTTTTTTTTAATGCTGATAAGCATGATTTAGTTTATTGCTGACTGATGAAACATGTTCTTGAATAGCTCTGTTCTTAAAAAAAAAAATAAATTAAGAGATAGGTAGATTTATTAATTGAGAAATGGATATCTTTTCCTTCCTTATCTATTTACACATCCGTTTTGTCCCTAGAAAACATCTATCACATATCTGAAAAGAAACCTGAGTCAATACAGATAAATGCAAATGCAAATAGTCACATACAGGATAAGCAAACATACACAGCATCTGTTGTCAGGGATATACATTTTAAAGAAGCTGAGTGTAAGAAATAAACCACACTTGTCTTTGACTTTGTAATTTCATGAGATGTAAATACAGAAGGAGAACATCAGATCCTGGCTTGTTTGCTTCTCTTGTTTCTCCATTAGCAGCAAAAGCATTGCAGGAAAGCTGCCAGATTCCTGCACAGAGCTTGCTTGTGCCGTGACAATATTTTCCTGACTAGTTCCTGGAGGTCTGATCACCTCGTTATGGCCTCGTTTCAAGCATTTATCCATTCTCTGCAGCAAATGCAAGCAGTGTAACAGTGCTGAGAGTGTAAGAATTGCGTTGGGAACACGGAACCCAACAGACACCCAGCACAGCAGTAATCCATTTAATACCAATGTACCGAGGCAGCCTTTGCAGGTGCTTTGTAGGGGATTCTCTCCCTGATGGTGACTACCGTGTTTTGCTAAGGAGAGCCAGCACTGGCAGGCACAAAGCCTCTGCAGCACTCTGGGAGTTACTCACCTGGGAGGAAGCCACAAAGCGCAAAAGAGAACAGCACGAAGATGCCTGCCATGGCCATAGTGAGGTACTGCCCGGGTCTGCAGGCGGCTGCCGGTGCTCTGCTCCTGAGATGGTTCCCCTGGGGCTGCCTGCAAATATATACAAATGCGGCGTCTGAGCTGCTGGACTGGAACACGGAGCAGCCAGCTGAATCTGTCAGTGGCACAATGAGGCTGGTAATATTTATTGAGGTCCTGACCTCCAGGTAATGGTCTGCGTCTCCCAGGCAATTGATTTTGGCTGGACACTTGGTTAATAGCTCGAGACAAGTGTCACATGCTCTCAGTGGTCAAAACCAAACAAACAGACTTTTGGACAAAGGATACCTCTTAAGGACTCTGGTAGGACCCTAAATAGCACAGAATGCTGAAGGGAGTAAGGGACAGGTCCTTCATTCGTTTCTGCATCCACATCTGCCAGCAGGGAACAGCTAAGGCTCAGAACCATCGTGCCTGCAGCTCTGCTTTCCATGCAGTTCTGCATTCCTGGATATTCACCTCCAGGTAAGAGCACCGGCCAAGGAGGCTTTGCCACCAGCAGAACTGATTAACCACTGCCAGGCGAAGCTGGCAGCACCGTATTTAACCTATGAAGTTAATGGTATTTAGCACTAGTTTGATAAAAGAAAGGGTTTCTTGGCACTTTCACTGTTTAAGTGTAGAAGAGCTTGGTAGAAGACTTGAAAGCAAGGTAAATTCTGTCAAATACCACTAAAAATGTCACTTGAACCTTATCAGCAGGGAGCACTTATTTACAGACCTAGTCACAGTTAAGTGAATTGACTCAAAGTGTTCTGCCAAAGCATCTCAAGAACAAACCACACTGAAGTTCGGGGAACTTATTTACATTAGGGCACCAGCTATGCCTGAAAGTACAGTTGTCCTTTCCTCCCGCAGACATTTCAGAAAATAGAGACAGGAAAACTGGGACAGTCTCTGTCTCTCACCTCCAGCCTTCACACCATCCCTCTCCAAGTGGCTCTTTCCTAGGAGGAGGTCTGGAGCTCTGCTGTTTTGGTCTGAGTAGTTTTGCAGCCATACCTTTAACCTAAGTTTCTTACTATGAATCCTTTCACAGGTCCAATGTGGTGAGAATACCTGTAATATTTTGCCATGGGAGATAAGCACTGACACGTTCTGAAGGATGCAGCATGGCTGCATGGTTACATTTCTACATGGAAATATGGGTTTCCTTCAGGGAGAAGCATTGAAATAATTATTCTGCTGCATTTGTTTCTGTAAATTAAGGGAATGTGCGTGAATATTTCAGAAAGATTTGGCACAGCCTGAAGATATATTGTCCTTATGTGTCTTATGGAATGCATCCCTGGGAACCAGAGATTTTCCCTAGCACCTACAGGAGTGCACTACAGCTCCTGCTGCACTGAGAGCTCATTGCCTTCATAAGCTCACAGCTGCACAGCAGGTGGGAGGTCCACATCCATCTTTCCGTATCAAACGTGAGTTTTGGCACTGCTTGGGGAGCACTGATCTCCGTGTGGTCGATCAGTGCAAGCCACAGGAACAGCACCCAGAAATCCCTCCATTCTCAGCACAGGGAGCAGAGTCCCAGCATAACCTCCTCCAGCTCCAGCTCCAGCTGGCCCTGCCTCTGTGAACAGCATGGGAAAACCCTCGGCAGGTTTGGCTCGTGCTGTAGGACACGTTGCTCAGCCCTTAGTTACCCCTAGAAAGGATTTCACCTGCAACCCTGCCACCGATCTCCTGCTGCAATCCACTTAATTGCAAACTCTTAATCCTCGAAGTCAGGTGCAGCTTACAGCTAATCGCTGTTTGGTTACAAGGAAATGCTCCTGTGTGCAGGAGTCAGCACAAGGGCAGAGATGTGTGAGTAAGCAAAGGCAGGGTCACGTCTCACAGTGCCACGTTTCATGGTCCTGAACTGCAGAGGGTCAGCAGGCTGACACTGGGGCAGGACTTGGCCAGTATACAACATCCTTTCTCTCTTACTCAAGGAACTTCTTGCTTTACATTTTCCATTACAGTTTCTGGTGGTGGTGGTGCTTTTTCCTAAACTACTATTGATGTCGTATTCTCTGCAAGGCTCCATACTGAAGGTAGGATTTTTTGCTTAGCTAGCAACATACTGACAAATGAATTACAAAACATTTAACTACACTTTTCCCAAACATTCCTGGGTTTTGTCACATTATTTTGATCAAAACTTCTGTTGTAAAAAGGGAAAACAACAATAAGTAGTCGTAGCTCTTTCATGAAAATGCCTCAAATCACTCCAAAATGCCTGCTTAATGTGACTCAAACTGCAGTTTCCATCTTTGTCCTTCTTCTGGCCATAGAGTGACCACTATCTAACCTGAGCCACATGCCCAGAGAAATCACAGCAGAGCCAACAGCAGCCCCGTCCCTCACCTCCTGCCCGAAGGCACTGTTTGAAGTAAGCAGCAAAGCAAATAAAAATCACTGATACGATTAAAACGTATCTCTAGGAAAACATATCCATGTGTTTATGAACTTATTAAATAGAGCTTGATTCAGGTAGAACCAGTGAATGTTTTCCTGAAACGAAAGGACCCCGTGCAGAACTTTGTACCCTGCAGGGGAAGATGACACAGTTCCACATTACTCTGGTGATGAATTAAATGTTCCAGGGCCCACTGCTAGGACAGGCATTGACACATGAGTGCACGTCCAGCAGAGGCAGCTCAGGGCACAGGGTGGGAAGGGGGGTGGGGAACACGGCCTTCACCTTGGAGAAGGGGAGAGTATGGGGATCTGCAGCTCCTTTGTGGGGTTATAGGGAAGGCTGAGCTAGAGGATGACATTCTATTTGAATATAAGAGAATATTCCTCTCCATGAGTGGCATGGGAAGCAGAGTGGCCATGAATCTCCTCCATTGGTGGTACAGATAATCAGGAAGGCACACAGCATCCTGAGCAATCTTTGAACCTGGCCCTGCTTTGAGCAGTAGTCAGGCTGGAAACCTCCAGAGAGCCCTTTCAACCTGAACTGTTTTATGTGCACAATGCTTGTACAGTGCTCTCTCCTAGGGATAAATCTTTGTTAAAGAAGGAACATACAATTTCTCCATGACCCACAAAAGCAGCCCCAGAGCTTTCCCACAGCTTTTGCTGAAGGGCCACAGTAAGAGATACAAAGGGCTTCCACAGCACATTTCTACAGGTAATGGCCAGAAACCATCTGCATACCTAAAAGAGCACAGTGCAAGCATTGCAACCCAGGTGTCCGAGTGAGGCACTTCGTGCTCCCTGCCATCCAGCAGCACGCAAGTCCCCAGAGCAGCAGCAACAGGGAGGTGGAGGCTGTGCCCCTTGCAATCCAGGCAGCCACTCAATCACCCAGAGCAGTGCTGCTGAGAGAAACTTACAGGCAAAATGAAGAAATGCTTATTGACAAACAAGCAGGGCTGGCAGAAACCCATTCAGTATAGTTGGGACGAGTAATTGCTACACACTACTGAGCAGCAAAGATGAATCTTAAAAACCTTAGGAAAAATCTCTTCATCTCCAGGCAGCTGCATCCAACAGCTTATGGAGGGAGAGGTGTCCAGGGCAGCACCGCTGTGTGAAGGCGATGGGGAGACAGGTTACAGCCTCCCATGAAGCACAGGGATCATCTCTGCACAGCGAGCTGCCAAGTCTCATTAATTCAGCAGGGAACATGCCGTCAGTGCTCACTGCCCTCGGTTCTGTTTTGTAAGATTGACAGAAACGTCTACGGACCACAAAGTGTTTTTGACAAGTAGGTAATTAACCTTCGCTGTTTACATCTCCCTCCACTTGGTGAGGTGAGCATTTTGGGGAGGACTGGCTGCAAACAAGCGGTGCTCCAGATCTGAGGAAGAGGAGGGCTGGAATAACTATTTTTCTGAGTCCTATCTGGGCTTCGTGTAACAGAGGAAGGATTTCACTGAGTACAGACAAAGCCTTAGACTTCAGAATGCAGGATCAGCCCCATTCTGTGAACGTTTCCCCTGCACAAAATACAGATGAGAGGAAGCAACCAGCGGTGCACAGTGGTGGCTCCCAGAGGTGCCCCCCATTGGTGCCACAGTGACCCAGAGCCATCCTGCTGCCCAGCAGCCACCCCAAAAAAAGGGCATTATCTCATCCCAATGCAAAGTTTTCTCCCTCTTGGAAATTCCAGAAAGAGGCAATACAGAACAGGAACAATGAGAGCAGAAAGCTGTAACGTGCTCCTGGATCTCAGCCAACACACTGGCCAAAATTCACCTGGAAAACTGTTTAAAAAAAGACAAATGAAGCCGGCTGTTTGTGGAAAGAAAAGCAGGAAGCTCCGGATCTGCAGTGAATGATGGTTTGCTTTTTAAGAAGGATCTTGTAAATAAAGAAAGCAACAAGGGGATTTTCTTTCCGAGGGAGATGGTGCGTAGCAGCTTCGTATTGTTCAGAGTGGCTGAGAGTGAAAACACACAGCTCTCCCTGGTGGGAAAGAGAAGAAGGATGGAGTGAGAGGTAACATGCATCACGGTGCCATAGCCTGGACAATTTGCTGGAACAGAAGAAACTGGATGGAGAGGGTTTCTGTAGCTGACAATTAGGAGTATAACCACTGAACAATTGTTCCTTCGTTATTAACAACAAAAGAAAGTGGAACAATCTAATTTATCCTGCAGAGCTGAGTGTTAATGAGATCACGGGCTGATTCCTTGCAGCTGGGTACAGGCAAAGCACCATTGGTGCTGGCAGAGAGAGGCACATGGCTGGATGAGAAGGTTTTACTATTTATAAGTTGCAGTTATAAGATAGAGGTATGCAGCAGGACTCATCTCTGAACTCTTGCTTTAGCAAAGTAACACTGTTACTCATTTAATGTATTAATACATGCGCGATGACTGCTGTGCTGTATATGATCATATGGTCCCTGCACCTCCTGGCACCATACACCATTTGCAACCTGACAAAAAATCTGCTATCAGGAGAGCTGAACGCGCTGGTATCCACAGAGGCTTTGTGAATTTCCTTTTCTGGTCTTGAAAAAGGTTATGCTGTGCTTTTCTGATGCTGTTGGGGAAGGTTGTTTGTGCATGCTTCCGTAGAGAAGAAATATTTCTTCTGC